CAGCTGACAAGCACCACCCTGCACTAAAGCACCGACCGCCCAGCTTTGCATTTGAAGGAAAAAAAAAAAGAAAAAAAAAAGAAAGGTTGTTTTTCTGGGTGACCTTGAACAACGAGGGTTTTGGCAGGGGTGGGAGAACACCAAGGGGACAGCGTGCGAGCCAGCTTCCACTTCTGCTTCATTTCACTTCGAGACAGTGTTGGGTTAGTTTGGATTAGAAACATCAGCTGTTTGCCGTTAGGGAGCTGAGGGCTTGTACAGCGCATTGCGAGTGCCATCTGCAGGCTCAGACACGTCCTGGTGGGCGCTCACGTCCCAAAAACGCGGATGAACCTGCCCGATGGGAAATCTTATCAGTGCATCTGATGGAAAAGCTCATAAATGCAGAAAGACTACAGAAGCGCTTGTTTCAGATCATTCAAGTCACAAAAGCATTCAGTGTAGCGAGTGGGGTTAGCAGAGCTCTTTCCCCAGTATCTTTCCTAATTCGGCACCAGCTTACAAACACAGTGATGCTCTTTGTGAGCAGGGGAGGATGTCGAGAAGGCGACCTTAACCTCCAATTGCTGGGAATGCCAGAAGGAAGGAGAATGATCTGTGGTTCCTCTCTTCAGATACAAAGAACAGGAGAAGGGTATCCAACACGTGTGGCTCTACTCAATAGCACTGAAGTGCTGGGAGATTTTAGGAACGCAAGCCAGTTAGTGGAATTTTCTAACTGGAAAGCACACTGGTTTTCAGGATAAAAGCCCTGAATAAGGGAAAGTTAAGAGAGTCTAAAATGAAATTATCTTTGGATTTACAGCAATAGCTGGCTGAACTATGGTTATCTGATTCACACAAAGTAATCCCAGACAAGCAAAGAGGCTGTCATTGCAGGAACATTGCAGCTACATCCCCAGAGAGGTATTTCTTTGGTGATATCTCGATACCTACCTCATTGATAATGCCTGACTACTGAATTTCACTGTGCGGTCGGCACTGTGCCTAAGGTTGGCATTTTCATGGTTGCAGCCTGTGAACAGTATCAGCACTGGCCGAGAAACAGTCGCAGGTATATACAAGATAACAACCTCTCTCCCGGGAGCTCAGGCTTTTTAATCCAAATTCCAACATTTGCCATCTGTGCATTCCATGTAGAATACATACCGTCAGAAAAATTGCCAGAGCATTGTCTAAACAGCAGTTATGAGAAAGAGAACCCAAATTATATTTCCTATTGCCCACGATACAGTGCTCTAAAAATCACTGACATTTTCTGAGCACAGCTGTATGCAGGAATGTGATCTATCTGAGCTATGCCTGATTGGATCATTACATCCAGATTTATAAAGCTGTGCAGTTTCTAATCAAACATAGAGGGAGCACATTCCACCTCTCAATCTAGTGCCTTGGCAGGTCAGTCAATCAGAGCATTTCTCAGCACAGCAATCCCAGATACGCTACTACTCTTTACATGCAGTTAGTCAGTATTCAAAAACACAGATGTCTTGCCCACCACTGAAAATATCAAGAAAACTCAAGAAAATTGCTTCTGGTCTGACCTTTTCAAATGCCTTCCTGAAACAGTAGGAGATAAGAAGAAATATATCAAAGTCAAAAGACAGTAGATTTTGGAGAATAAATTCATACTGTATGGCATGCTAAGTGTTTTCTTTTCAGAGAACTGCCAATAGCAAATACTATTGCTTATACTGTCAATCTCACCAGGCCAGTCAGTACTACACTTTTTATTTTATTTTTTAAGAAAAACAAACACAACTGTCTATTGTCATTAATGCCAGTAATTAACATTCTGATGAGGAGAATGGGAAAACTCATCAGTTTGCTTCCAGATCTTAGCACATGTGCTTTATTATATGGCTATATGGGCAAAAAACAATGTCAGTTATCCACCCCAGCCATGGCAAAGATAGTGAATATCTCGAGAAAAATGACAAATATTTAAACTTAAGTTAGAATTAATCACCAACCAACTCCAAAGAGTTAAGCATAAAGAAGGGAATTAGGAAGAATAGTTAAGCATAAAGAAGGGAATTGGTCATAATCAGAGTGAGGAGGAGATTTATTCCCCAACCACAAAATCGACCTCACTAGAAGCTTCTGCAGGAGAACTCCAGGTGTGACAAATTTATGGCCTCCCCTCTTACCCTCACTATTACTCTTTCCAAAGTGGAGTATTATATTCTCAAGTCCTTGACCTCAGATAAAGCCTGAGATTCCTTTCACTTCCCCTCAGCAGATGTCCCCATGTCCATTTGCCAGCACCACATTCCAGTGTCACACCGCAGACAGACCTCATAAATTAGCAGTGGTATTCTGGTGTGAATGCCCCAGAGGGAACTATTCCCGTCAAAGCCAGGGGGAAGTAACTAGGTTTGACTTGTGTCAGTTATTTCTATTTAAGAGTCACCATAAACTTCACACACAGAGCACAGGACTGATTGTGACTGTTTACAATTGTCTAGGCAAAGCAATGACATGCTCATTGATAATATCACTTAAGGTGTAAAAGAATCAGATTCAGACAAATCTAGGAGATTCTATACCTAGGCAAACTATACTTTTCTCTTTCCTCTCCATTCTCCTCCCAAATACCCACCTTCATTTGAACATGTGGTCATACAGTGAACTAGATTCATACACACTTTGCTCTGAATTCAGCCTCTTGAAGTGAATGGAAATGTGTCAGACATGCTGATATAGCATAGAAGGAGGATTAACAGGGGGGTTAGAAAAGTCCTAAGTGAAATAATTCTATTCTGACTTACCTTAGTACCTACACACGCAAGCTGCACATCTGTAAGGTTCCTAAACCCTGACGAGGGGATGTATCTCTAAATCACATCATCCAGAGGAGCAAGACTTAAGTGAGCTGTTGTTTCCATGTGCAGACAGTTACACAGCTTGCGCTCATCTCTATTGTCAAGACCGTGTTATTTTTCTGTCTTTCCTCACCTGTTCTTAATTTGTTTCCTACATCTCCCATGAGATGCTACTCACAGGAGATGAAAAAGAAAAAAAAAAAGCTAACCGCGATCCAGAAATGTGAGATGTAACTGGAACTATGAAGCTAATATATCATAGGGAAGGGAGATTCAGAAAATGTTAATGCCACAATAGATATTAAATCAGCTAGTTTCAGCTCCTGTATATTACATGATCTTCATTGTCATTCGCTACTCTGGTGTTGCATCCAATAACAGCTGACCCAAGCACATCTTCTGGAAAGGCACCTAATGTTGATTTCAGAATGAAATCTACTACTAACTCGTGCTTGTGAATGAGGCCCTATAGAACTGTGGTTTGCACCTCCAGCCTATGATCCATTTTAATAAATTTGCAAAACATAATTCCAGAAATTCAAGCCTAGTACGAGATGGCTTAAATCGACAGGAAATCCCTTGAAATTTTAGAGACTCACCAATCTAGAACTGCTGCTTTCAGGCTGTCTGATTTGTCAATGGTATGCAAAGACATCTCATCACAGCCGAAAGGTAACACTGAAGTTCAGTAGCAAGCCAAGCAATAGAATATTCCATCAAGAGCTGAACATCTGATGAAAAGAAGGATGTTGGCAAACTGAATGGATCCAAAGAAACAGGTAACAAAACATATTTAACGGTATAAAGAACACAAAGAACATAAAGAACACGGTAGCAGAATTAATATGTTTAACATGGTTAAAAAGCACATAGGAGAGACATGCTAACATTCTACAGATATTTCAGGGTTATTAATTCATCTCCTTCTTTGGTATTTATCTCCTTAAGGAGAGATAAATAAGACTAAAGGGATATAAACAAGGGGAAAAAAAAGATTAAGAGAAATATAAATTAAACATGAGGGAGAGAAAAAAAAAATAATCTAGCCAGTAGCTTCCATTAGGCAGTGAAATAGTTTCCTTGAGGGCACAGTGAGAGAGGTATGTCCCTGTTGCTGGAAAAATCTTAAACTAAACTAGTTTTTTTCAAAAAAACACCACCTACATTTTTGTCTTATGCCACAGTGAAATATTTGAGCAATAACCTGCCTTGTGTGCATTGGGAAGACAAAGTATTTGATACATTCTCCTTTACATAGATTAATTGGGATTTTATCTGAAATATCCAAAGCAGAAGTGCCTTTACAGAAGATCAATTTTGGATAGAGGATGCTTCAAATCTAAACCAAAAAGGTGTAACATGATCTGACAGCCAGTGCTGAGGTTGGATGATTTCTGGCCATAAGATACTTTGAGAGGAAGAAAAAAAAAAAGAGAGAGAGAAAGAAAAAAGCTATTCAGTCACTGGAAGAACTTATCAAATGCCCTCTTTCTTTTAAATTCTTTAAATAAAGACAGGATGCATGTTTAAACATCTACTATGACCATGCTTTCGGAAAAAGTTAGAAGCTTTTAGGTGGAAGCTTTTGGTTTCATACCAAAATTCCTGGACAAGCTTTGCTTACACTGTGCTATGAGGAAAATAATAATACTACTAATAATGCCTCTCGGCAACAATTGCCTCTCAGTCCAAAACAAACAAAACCCCCTTCCACATAACACACTGTACTCTTGGA